TAATTTTAACAATTAATTGAAAATTGAAATATAACAAGAAAATTGATTAATATTCCATTTATATGATAATTATGGACCAGTCTACCTATAACTGCTTATTTGTCAACAACCTACGAATACATATAAATTAAATACAAGTTATCGGTAAGTAAGCAAAAATTTAAAAGAGCAGATCACTAAAGTTTTTATTTTTGGTTTCGAGTTAATTATAAGTAAGGAAGGAGAATAGATGTAAATATTTGAAATTACATTCAAATTTATACTTGGTTTAGAAATCTGAACTCATCACCACATAAAATCACGGATTGGATAAAAGTAAAGCATTAGTTTTTACTTTCAAAAATTCGTCATTGTTAGCAACTCACGATAGCTAAAAAGGTTGACAATATTTTAAAAACGACCAAAATTTGCTGAATTACGCTAGAAATTACGAAAAGCCTTCCGTTTGAAAACGGTTTTAAGTTTCTCCCATAGTATAAAGATTAAAATTCTACAGTTAGTTTCACCGTCAAATAAGGATTTAGGAGAAAAATTCAACATTAAACAGAAAATATATACATCGAAATTTTAAAATTATTTTCGTGGAATATGGTATTGCCAGTACAAATAAGTACAGGGTGGTTAGAATTAAAGTGACACTACTGAGACTCCTGTAGAACCTGTTTTGTTTCCATCGGAATTTGATGAAAGTTGATATATACGTTATATGGACTATGGGGAAAAGATTTCTGCAATAAAAGACAGATCAAATTTTGACCACTAGATCGCAATTTTGAAAAATTCCTTTTTCAAATTAGTCAACCTATAAAGAGACTTGCAGTCAGAAACAGAAAATCATTCTACATGCTTTTGTCATCTTTAATCATGCCTTTACAGAAGAAAGATCGAGCTTTACTAGTAAAACTATTTTATCAGAACAGCTGCAATAGCTTATTTGCATTGAGGGAATATCGTCGTTTAAGGGATTGCGAAAAGGGCTAATGTCGAAGAATGGTTTGAAGGATGAAGTTTATGAAATTTGAAGAGACTGGAGACTTGGGTGTGCTGCCAGGAAGAGAGCGGAAACCGGTTGTAAAATGAAATTCTCGAAGTCCCTACTTGCTGTGGTCGAAAGAGCCTTCGGTTCCCGCTATTCTCCAGCAACTACTCGATCATTGTCACGTGAGTTTGCGATTCCTTGGTCTACAGTACGAAACATTCTGCGATCCTTTTAAAATGGTATCCGTATAAGATCCACTTGGTGCAAATGCTGAAACCTTAAGACCACCAAACACGCTCTGAATGTTTTTGCCGATTTTTGGCGAGAATGGATGTTGATGGAGCGTTGCCTTGGAAATTTCTATGGTCAGATGAGGAGCACTTTCTTTAGATGGAGCTGTGAATAATCAAAATTGCCGCATAAGGGGTGCTTCACCTCCTAATGTCCTGCACCAACAACCACGGCATTCTGAATATGTGACTGCATGGAGTGGATTTACTGCTGATTTTACCCTCGGATAGCTTTTCTTTGAAACTCTCACTCCTCAAGGTCCTAAAACGTGTTCTGTCACAAGTGCATGGTACAGTGAACTCCTTCGACAGCAAGTCATTCCTGCTTTACAGGAACGGTAATGTTTGCATACCACTGTCTTCATGCAAGATGGAGCACCACATTGGGCAACAAGTCAAAGAACTTCTTCGCGCTAACTTTGGAGAGAATCCTATAATTCCAGAGCTTTTCTGGATGCCTAGCCTTCTCGTTCACCCGATTTAAATCCCTGTGGTTTCTGGTTGTGGGAATCTTAAAAGACCATGTTTGTGGCGGAGGACTTAGAACTTTACCTGAGTTGAAAGCTAGCATTACACACCATCTTACGTAAATCCCTTGAGAGTTACTTCGCGCTATCATTGAACACGCTATAATGCGCTTTCAACACCTAATTGATGTCCATGGAGCGAACTTTGAGCACATTCTGTAATTGAATAAATTTAATGATTCTGACAGATTTTTTGGCCCTTCTTTAGGCGCCACAATTCACCCTGGTTGTCCAATTTTAACTATTTTTAATCGAAGAAATCGTTTCCCCATGATCCTAATAACATATATACCAAATTTCATCAAAATTCAATAAGTAGAACACGTTCGATAGGGATCTGACTATGGTCATTTTAATTATAACCACCCTGTATATGAGAAATGTTTGAAAAAACTCGAATTGGTAGAACAGGGTCAACAATTAATTTCAAATATAACGCAAACAAATCATCCAAGATACCAACACACACAGAAATAAAACTTGCATAAAATATATTTTTAGCTAAACTGGGAACTAATAATCGCAGAATACCTATCGTTATGCAAGATTAATTTTGGTTTGCCTAGCGATGCTTCAAGAGGTAACTTCGCAACACGTTTCCTGAACTGAGAGCAAACAATCTGATATGGGTACTACAAGCCTTCCTTGTATGGCCTATTAAATTACATACGCTTTTTCCTGCATTTCATTCAAACTTATTTTTATTATCCCCAGTTTCATTAGCGATATATTTCTCATTCAATTAATTCAGTTCTCACTTCGTGGCAAAGCAAAAATACATGAAAGTCAAAACATCTCCATCAAAAATTGTAAAATACAGAAAAACATAAAACACTAAGTACAGTTAAAAGAGTTAAAAAAACAATTTTTACAAATAAAATTAGAGTTTCTACGCAAATACAAGCAATTAAAAATGTGGGCGAAAAAAGCAGATTTTTCGGTGCACAAAACTGAAAATTTACTTTGGTCCCACTCGGCAAAAAAACATTGAAGGCGCAGAAACTGAATTCACTATTCTACTGAGCTTCAGATGTAAACAAATGGCGATTCGTTAAGCTTAAAATAACTTAAACTTAGGTACTTAAAGTTTTAAATTTTTGATAATTCTACAAAATTTGCATGATTAACGAAACATGCAAAAATTACCAACATATAAGAATAAAAAAATTAAGCTCACGGAGTCCATCAGTCCCAAATATATAAAATTTCAACTTTCTACGGCTACTCGTTCTTTAGTTATGCGAGATACATGCATTTGTACGCCAAGAAAGAGGTCTCTTCTGAGTCCACTTTAAATCCATTTTACAATCTTTTTTATCAACGTACAGATGTCACTCAAAAACATTGATCAAATGGTTTCGAGAGCGGTTGAAATGGATATTTTCTTTGAAATATGACGCGATAAATTTTCCGCAATTACAATACTTCTTTTTATAATATTTCCTTAATACTTTACTTCATTCGTATAAGGAAGTCAAAAGAACTAGAAAGAGTTCAGATTTTAACAGTCGTCTAAAAGGGCCTTTTTACTTCCTTGTACGAAGTAAAAAGGAAGTATTGTAATCTAGAAAAAATTCGGGTATCATATTTCAACGAAAATATTCATTTTGACCGCTATCGAATGCAGTTTAATGATGTTTTTGCTTGACATCTGCACGTAGGAACAGAATAAAGGACGCTTTTTAACCAAAAATATAAATAAATAAATAAATAAATAAATAAAAATTAAAAAAAATAAACTAATTTAAAATAAATTATGAAGAGATTTTTTTCGTCACGTCTGTACGTACGTATGTATGTATTATCTCGCATAACTCAAAAATAGGACTATAGGACAACTATGGGACTGCAATAACCATTTTGGTTGCCTCCCATTTTGGTTGCAATCGGCAGCACCAGAACTATATAAATATATTAGGTCTCTCAATTTTTGATTTACTACTTTTTATTTTTGCTTATATATATATATATATCTATATATATATATCCATTTTGTTACTCGGCTCAGCTCAGTTTCTTTTATCTGATACGTTTCTAAATTGTGCATTGTTTGCTTTAAAACTGATTGAATTATGTTGTTCTTGATTTTTATGCCTTTAGTTAACCTACATACAATAATCGTGGAACTATCAACAATTTAAATTTATTATAGTATTTGAATAGAGCATATGATAATTTTTCATATGACATAACTTTTGTGCACTCTGACTTATAAAATGAATGAGATGTAACTCTGCTAAGTGCACCTAGCGCCAAAGTGTCGCTATGGTAAATAAATATAGTGAACTTTAAAGAGTGTATTTATTCTATTGTGGTTTATGCGCTATCGACGAAGTAGATTTAATTCCAAATTCGTGTTAACTGTTTATTCAATACGTTTAAATGAAATGTCGGAAAATTGTGTATAATATAATATAATATTCCGTTCAAGGAAATCATATGGTGTACACATTAGATTTTTTAAAGTTTAATATGATTTAACAGTATAAATTATCAATTGATTTGTCTCAGGAAGAATATCGAAACATTTTATTAGATGAAAGTACATTTAGATTATAGAACGTCATAGCATATCTTATGGATATTTAAACAGTGAAAAAATATATATCGTAATTCTATATAAATATTTAATGTTTTTAATTAGATATGTCGTGTATTAAATGCATTTTATTTAAATCAATCTGGTTAAAAAGAAAATTCTTAACAAAAGCAGCTATTGTTTTTAAATAACCTAGTCTGTTAATCAATAACAAATTAAATTTGAAATATAAATATCTTATACATTAGAGAATGGCAACAGACACGGAAGTAAAGTGAAATAACGCAAAATATTGTTTCGAGACTAATAACCGCTTGGGGTAAAAGATGTATATAATGCAACTCTGTAAAAGTATGTAATATAATTCTTTAAATTTATTTAACTTTTTAATTAGGTACGTCAGGACTTAAATGCACTTCCAATTAACTATAAAAGTAAAAAATACTATTCTTAAGAACTGCATCTTTTACTTTTAAATACCTTAATTTGTTAATCAATACTAAACACAGTAAATTTGAGAGATTAGTTTCTTAATTTTAGTCAAATGATAACAGACTCGAATGAAAAGTGAAACAACGCATTTACAGTGGATCACGCAAAATCGCGTCTACAATACATTGATTTACAGTGTATAGAATGATGATTTCGTTTCCTTTTTCTTTCAGATGCGCGACTGCACAAAAACTAAGGTAAGAAATTAAAAATTTCATTGTAATAAAATTTCTGTTTTTTGAGTTTATTGATTATTACAATAAAACGTAATAATTCTGCAACTAGAAACAATAAAACCCAAAAGATGCATAATACGTTCAATCGAATACTGTTCAGAAAACTCAATTGCACTAAATTAGTGATTAATAATTAAGATTGTTGAAAATCACACTTTCCTGTATATATTAACATAATATATTTTGGTTGGAGATTAAACAACCTAGCTTTTAAGATATTAGTGCTTTAATTTTTAATCCGTCAGAAACATTTCCTATACGGTATTTTTTTGAATAACTGGCATTTAGTGTTTTAGTAGAACGGCATAATTTTACATGTAAAAGCCTCACTATTAGTAATAACACCCTAGAATAAATTGTTTCACTGGAGGCTTTTGTCTCTGGTGCATCTCTTTGTAGGTTCGGTTAAGCCTGGTGTGGTTTCATTTATCTTCATAACGTTATTTACATTGCATATATATCCCAATGGAAATGTTCTCCCTGCACGTCACTTAACAGCTCTGAATTCTCTGCAAATAAATCAAGCTAGGAGTCCAGAAAATAAACGGACTGCTTTATTTAATTTACTCAGATCCCATTATGAATATTTGCTTAGAGGATAAAAGAAATTTTAAGCTATATATATATATATATTTTGGTTGGATGATATATATATATATATATATATACTACCCTACTATATTTATTCATTTTTTATTTCGTTTGCCTAAAATGTTCGTCACCCCATTTTTAAAGGATCCCAAGAATAGCATTCATGTTTTCTCTTATGAATTTTCAATTACATGATCACTACCAATTCTCTGATCTGATGGCGCTATCCGTTTAGGTTTTAGTAATTTTGATGAAAATTAATTTAAGAAAGCGAAAACTGTCCCCTTTTCTGTATATTAACTGTTTAAAGCTTTCATAAAATTGATGAAAGAAGATTTTGATGTGAAGAAATGACGAGTGCAGTTTCTTTCTAAATTCAGGTGTTACTACTGCATAAAATTTCAGAAGTACAGTTGTTTTTGACGCGTTTTGGTGAGTAATTCTAGCTGATAGAATCCGTGTTTAGGAAGGTTATAGAGTCTCGCTTTCTTTCGTAGCATAAACTAGTGAGCTCTAGAAAGACTGCAGAAGAATAATCCTCTTGTCTTAAATTGTAGACAGGCAAAATCAGAAGAAGGGTGTAAACAGCCCTTTTATTATAACACAAAGGAAAAACATTACCCCAACTTGGGTTTACACAAGCCAAAACTTCTGGTTTAAATTAAATAAGTAATGTTTAACTAATTCAAATGTACTAGGTTAGTCCAAGAGATCACAAGGTAATTTAAACGCGCAGGAAAGGCTTTGGTTTGTAGAAAACCGGCGAGACGAAGCCAAATGGCTAGAAACACTCAACGCCACAGAATCAAAAGGCTGATAGTCTCTGTACAACTTCGCCTGGAATACGCAAAACATGCTCTAAAAATAACTAACAGTTAATAGCGTAACCTTTGCTTAAACAGAATTTCTTTCTGCCTTAATCTGATTAAACACTCGTTATCTCATTTACATTCTGGCATGAAAAATATGGCTGAAAAGAGAGTGACAGGAAAGCACTAAAACATAAAATTAACTATTAATTAAAAGTAAATAGATAAAACCTTACAAGTTAAACCTTCTTAAACACGAGGCAAGAACTTAAGCATTGTATTGTTGAAGACACATTTATTTTGAAAGCTTTTGATTATGTCACATCATCTGCCAAATTCTACGGCATAGATAATAAAGATTAAGAAACTATGAAGCATCGGAAGCTGTTCAAATTCTAAACTATTAATTAGAAGAGTTAAGAAAATCCGAAGAAATTCAGATTTAGAATTAAGAAACCCTGAAACTGATCAAACGCTATTGACTGTTAAATGCTTCTGGGACTGCTGGACGTTTTACTAGCAAATTACAAAATTCGCAACTTTGAAATATACTAATAATAAAGAAGAATAAGAGAAAGAAAATAAGAGAGCAAGCCCATAGATGAAAGATATCCAGGCAGAATGATTTTTATTAACTGTTCGTTTTTCAAGCTAAAATGAGTAACTATACAACTGGTAAGTGGATTTGCAGAAGAAAAAACTGATGTGCGTCGGTACAGTCTCCCTTTCCTCTTGGAAATATAACGGAATACTTTAAAGTCCGTGAGTTGGCCATTATTAAAGTCTAAAGCAGAACTTGAAGGCATTGGAACACAAAGATTTAGACGATAAAAATAATGTCTTGTAATTTTAGCAAATAACAAATAGTCGATGATGAGTATGTGGCATAAAAAAAGAACATTAAAAAATAATAAAAAAAAAACATTTTCTTTAAAGACTCAGTTACTCAAAATCGGAGGACGTTTACGGTCATATGTTCTCGCATAAAAATGGCTTAATTGTATGCGCATCATTTGTGTTTAACGGCGAAAATTTAGCAGATGAGGTGAATGTCAATAGTTTCGCATTATTTTTACTTCCTTATACGAATTAAAGACAGTATTGTAATCTCGAAAAATTTCGGGTATCATACTTCTACGAAAATATCCCTTTCAGACGCTCTCAAAAGTATTTAAACGATGTTTTTGCGTGACATCTGTGCATACGGGCAGAAGAAAAGACCGTTTTTGCCAAGAAAGAATTGTATAATTTATATCTAAATGGATTCAGAAGAGATTATTTTTTCTATACATATGTACGTATATGCGTACGTACATATGTATGTATGTATGTATGTATCTCGCATAACTCAAGAACGAGCAGCCGTAGAACATTGAAATTTTGTATATGGGACTGCTGTAACATGTAGTCATGCACCTCCCTTTTTCGTTGCAAACGGCTGAACCAATCGTATATAAATATGTATACGCATATATTCCCATTCTGTTACCTGGCTCGGTGAGCTTAGAATTTTTATTCTTTTATGATGATAAATTGTGCATTTTTTGCTTCAAAAAGTGTTTGAATTGCGCGGTTTAAATAACTTTCAGTTTTGTTCACCGAAACAAAGGTTCACCGAAAAATCTGCCGTCTAGGCCCCGGGCCGAATTGCTTGTTTTTGCGTAGAAACTCAAATTTGAGAAATTTTTTTTTTAAACTGTTTCAATTGCATTTGGTGTACTATGGTTTTCTGTATTTTACAATTTTTAATGAAGATTTTTTAGTTTTTATGTATTTTTCTTTGCCCCGAAGTGAGAAATGAATTTATTGAATGAAATATATATCTGTAATAAAGTTCAATGAAATACGTTTAAATAAAATGCAGCAAAAGTTTGTATGATTTAACAGACCGTTCAAGGAAGTGCGTGGCGTGGTGTCACATCACATTTGTTACAGTCATGTGGTGTCTACATCAAATTTGTTAAAATGGTCGTCAATCATCTCTTTCAAATGTTTGCTTAAACTCGTTTCTTATTAATTAACTAGTGCCTAACTACTTAATTAACTACTTATGTCACTGCTCACATTTAGAAATTACCTCTATGTGTTGGCAGTTCGTTTTCTTTCCGTCACTGTTTTCATGGATACAAACCACAACTAAAAATATAAGAGTTAACGTAAACCTTGACTGCTCACAATCTGTGGGGATAATTACGCAAATACAAGAAAAAAAAATCTACTTGTGACGTGCTGGAACTCTACAGCTTCTTGGCTGGGTAACACGTTCAGCAACTTCAAAGAAATAGAAATAAATAATATGAAGCTAACTGTTGGTAAAACTTAAATCAATATCAAAATTTTCTAAAATCATAGGTTGTAGAGAGATTAGGCTATTTTGAAACAGGAGACATAAAAAATGAGCAATGCCCTCGCTGGGACTCGAACCGGTACCTCTTGAGTACGCGCCGAGTGTGCTACCGTTACACCTCGAACGCATGCTGGAAGGAGGAGAAAATGCATTATAAGGTAAGTTGGACGTGGTCTGTTATGACCATAGGACCAACTTGTTTAATTAGGTGGGTTTGGCTGCGCCCACTATGTTACCTTAGAAGGTAAGTAAAAAAAAAAAAAATCTTAACTGATTTTAGACTAATTTTTTTATTATTAACTACACGGACAGCTTACAGAAGTGCAAATGGTATAAAGGCAAAAAAAGGATTTAGTGTTTGTTTTCTGAACAGATTTGATTTGTGTCTTCCCATTTCAATTTCATCATAATTTTTGTAATCATTCTCTCTCACTGTGTTTGCATTTCTTTTAACGAAAATGCTATGCTTTAAAAACAGCACTTCTGAAAAATCTAATCTTTTAGTTTGAACAGAAGGTAAAAAGTGTCATTTCTTATTCCAAATGCAGCAACTTAAAAAAAAAAAAAATACAACAAAGCTGTGACATTTAGCTTCAAACGGCTAATTGTTATTGCCAAAAAAATAATTTAAGAAATCCGATATTCACACACATTGAAAAAGAAAAATAGTTAAAAAATAACTGATAGAATATGTTAATGACATGTGACTCCAAATTAAGTCTTTTCAATTTGCTTTGGATGTGTTGTAGTTTTTATTTTTGCTTCTAGCCACATACATAACAAAAACGACGTAATTTTTTTCGCGCTTTTACCCCTCTTTCCTGAACTCATTCATGTAATATATATATAAATAAAAAGATTGAAACTCCCATTCCATTAACTGGGGGAACTGTAATAGCATCTGTGGCGATTACGACTTGATAACATGGAATTCTGGGGGGAAAAGGAAAGGGGAGAAAGGGAAATCACTCACTTTTTTTTTTTTTTTTTTTTTTTTTTGCTCTGTCTTTGACCTGATAAAAATTCTCCGTAGGCTGCATCAGGATGTTAAATTATTTTTTAGAAAAATGTGGAATGGCACATTTTTCGTGAAAATTCCATGTATAAAACCTAATAGATGAAATTTGCTTTGTGAATGTAAATAGCAGAATCAATGGCAATAGCTAAAATATCCGAAGTAAGTGACGTATTGAAAATTTTCCGAAAACGGAGAG